CCTTTACAGGAATCCCTGGAAGGAATTTTTCCCAGGCCTCAGAGTCCAAAGAGTACAATAGGATCATTTTTATTGTGATTATTTGTTCCGTTTTGAGAGACTGAATACCATAGTGGTTAAGATCCTAAGCTCTTTAGATTTGGTTCTTACTCCCGTTGTCTGGCTTTGGGCAAGTTTCTTGACCTTTCTGTGTTTCAGTTTTTTTTTTCATTTGTAAAATGGGGATAAAAATAGTAACTAAATAGGGTTATCTTGAGGGTTATATGAATTAATTCATATACAAGGATAGAACAATTCTAGTTGTTTTCTTTTTTTTTGAACTTAGGGGTACTTAACCACTTAGCCATATCCTCAGCTCTTTTTATTTTTTTATTTTGAGACAATCTTGCTAAGTTGCTTAGGGGCTCATTGAATTGCTGAGGCTGATCTAAAATTTGTGATCCTTCTGCCTCATCTTCCCAAGACACTGGGATTACAGATATATAGCACCATGCTTGGCTTAGAACAATTCTAGTTTTTATAGTAAGTTAAGGTTAGCTGTTACAGTTGTATTTTGCTTCTGAGATTTTGCAGTTTACCTGCGGTCAGTGTACAAGATCTTATGTCATGCCATGGTGTATGAATTTATCCTGAATTATTTCCTCTTTGCGACTTTCTCCATCTCTTTGTGTGTTTTACCATGTCATACTTTACATTTTTCTAGAAGCCATTGCAGATGAAGTTTGAGAATTTGTGTGTACATGAAGTTATTATTAAAAATTGTATTCAGCTAGAGATGGAGCTCAGGGGTAGAGTACTAGACTAGTATGTGCAAGACCCTCAGTTTAAAAGGCAGCACAGGAAAAAAAAATTGTATTTCAGACTTGATATTCAAAACCTACTAAAATTATTCTCAAGTTACCACATGTAGGTTGCATGATCAAATGAAAGTGCAAAGTGGTAACAGTATCCAAAGTGCAGCTGGAACCACTATTAGCACGTAGTAGGAACTTAACAAATATTTGTTGAATATTGTCTTTTATAAAGAGATCCAGCCTAGTACATTAAAAATGACTGTGTCGTTTGAACATCTCTTACTGTCTTCTCATTCTGCATGGATGTCCCTACTGCTTCCATTTTCAGTAAAACAAATCTTTATGCTTTAAAGAACCTGTAGTTAAAGAGTGGGAGAAAGAGGCTGGGGGAGTAGCTCAGTGATAGTGTGCATGTAGTGAGGTCTTGGTTTCCATCCCCAGCACTGTTTAAAAAAAAAAAGGAAGAAAGAAGCTGTAAAATAGGGAATCTTTGGGGAACTGACCTCATGGAGCTGGACATGATTGTCTCATGTTATAAGGTACATATACCATGGGAAGTACTTATTTTACTTAGCATGATATTCTTTTTTTTTTTTCATATTTGTTTTTTAGTTGTAGTTGGACACAACACCTTTATTTCACTTGTTTATTTTTGTATGTGGTGCTGAGGATCGAACCCAGGGTCTCGCATGTGTGAGGTGAGCACTCTACTGCTAAGGCCCCCCCCCCCCCATGATATTCTTAAGGCTCATCCATGTTGAAGCATATGTCAGAATTTCCTTCATTTTTAAGGCTGAATAATATTCTATCCTATGTTATATACCACATTTTGTTTGTTTAACCAGCCTGTTATATTTTTAATCATTGTTAAGTATTCTATTATGTGTATGTATCATAGTATATGTGCTATTAGTGGATGTTTGGATTTTCATTACATATTTTAAACAATTCTGAGAAACATTTTTTGCACAATTATTTTCTTAAATTCTAGAAGTATGATTGCTCAAAGGGTATTCATGTTTTTCATTTTGGTAAACATTGCCAAATTACTCTCTAAAAAAATCCCAAGTTTTACTTGCTTTATAGTGCATGAGTGCCCATTTCTCTGAACTCCTGCCAATATTAGTCTTAAAAAATAATTTTGCTTTTTGTACAACTGAACAGAGAATGAGTTGTTTCATTTGTATTCTGAAAGTGTTTGTCTTAGAAATCAAGTATACCTTCAAATGATACTTGGCTGCTCTTAAGGAGATTTAAAAAAAAATATTCTTTTGGTTCTGAAAAGCAGAGTTGTTGGAATAAGTTGATAATGTCCCAAGGTGACAATTTTGAAGGGCACATTGAAGAGAAGCTCTTGTATCTGTGTTAATAAAAAAAGGCAATCCTTTCTTTATAATCACACTTAAACCTGACATGCTCATATATGACTTATCTCTACAACAAAATTGGATAGTTGTTGGAAGTTGGACAGCAACATGTATTGAATTCCTGCCATGTATAAACACCTTTTGTCAGAAGGGATGTGGTGTGATGGCACCTGTCCTTGTGGAACTTATAGTCTTAAGTCTTCAAGAACACGGAACAGGAGGTGGAAAGTGACACACAAAATGGCACATTTCCCAGGGCCATCCTATGGGAGTTCTCTATCAAAACTGGTGTGGAAGGAATGATTGAGTGAATCCTACAGATTCCTCTATGTACAAAGTGATAGTATTTAATAGAGAAGATCTCTGCTGATCTTAGGGTGTTTTGAGGCCTCTCTTCTGTAAGGATAAAGATGGGGAGCAGGTGTGTGCCTTTAGAGATGTTTGCCCATTCTTATTTCTAAGCTGGGATGAAGCAGATTAATTTTGCTGAAAAATATTTTATTGAAGGTACTTAAGCGTCCTTTTGCTTTGCCCTTTGACTTTTCAATGTCAGAACACCCACCCAAATGTATGGCTTCTTATTGAAGTCCTTGTTTTTGTAGGGGAGAACTATTCAGGATGAAGGTGGGAGCACTTGTTCCTCTGTTAGCAACCCATTGCCTTGCTTCCATGGAGGGAAGACAGTTTATTGTGGTTGCTACAGGAGGATGTTTGCAGCTCCGGCAGTTTGTGATCCTATCCTGTGAAAAATGCTCTCATTTTGGGGTGTATACATTTTTTCATGGTTATAGAAAAAGTTCTTATTTTTATAAGTGAAATTTAAATGCTCCCTTTTAGATTTATAATTTTTGACTTGTATACTTAAAATAGCACATTAATGTTTTTGAGACCAAATATTTCAGAACTTTACTTAAAAGGTTAATATTAGGGATGTATAATATTAGGGATGTAGTTGGTCTATATTAGGGCATAAGCTTTTGATTCAGGCATTTCTTCTTAGCCTTAGTGTAAATAAGTAGTTAATATATTTAAGGGAAAAAGAGAATAGTAGTATACCTTACTTGATTAGGGCTTCTCAGTAAAACATTCTTTAATCTCTGTGTCTTTAAGATCCACGAGTTAATGGCAGTAGAATGATGTGTTACTGGACAAAATTTTTGTAGATGGACACAACACAATGCCTTTGTTTTTTTTTTTTTTTATGTGGTGCTGAGAATCGAACCTGGGTCCTGCCTGTGCTAGGCGAGCGCTCTACCGCTGAGCCACAATCCCAGCCTTGGGCAAAATTTTTGGAAACTTCAATTAGCTGTAATGATTTGTTAAACAGATTACCTCCTGTTTTTCATTTCTAGAAGAAACAAATGACAAGAAAATCTGGTGTTATTGATATTTATTTTTTCTCTTTTTAAAATTTTTTTGTGGTGCTTCGGATTGAACCCAGGGCTTTGTGCATGCAAGGCAAGCACTCTGTTAACTGAGCTATATCTCCAGCCCCTTTTTTTTTCTCTCTCTCTCCCTTTTTTTTTTTTTGCAGTACTGGGAATTAAATTCGGGGCCTGTGTATGGTAGGCAAGTGTTCTGTCACTCACCTACTACCCCGGACCCAGTTATAGTTATTTCTAAAAATAAAAATCTTCATAGGATTGATTGTTTCTAGGAACATATTCAAACCAGCTTTCACGTTCCTTGTATTTCAAGATCTAAACTATTTTGAAAGAGCAAGGAGGTGACTGAGGTAACCTGCAGTGTCTTCTATCACAAAAGAACCAGACTTATTTTATCTTCCATGAACTTATTGAAGATGGATGAAATATTGGTATATTTATGACTACCTTAAACAGGAATTAAAACTGAAATTAGTAGTGATCTTTTTGCCATCATCATCAACCTTATTAATAGCAGCCTATGTTTGCTTAATTATGTACTACCTACTCGTTCACTTTTCTGCATTTTTGCTTGTGTGTCCTCTCTTACCGGGAACCTCCATTTTATAAATGAAGAACAAAAGGAGGCTCAAAGGTGTTAAGTGTTTTGACTGAGATCACATTGCCAGCAACTGATAGGGCCAGAATTTGAACCCAGTGGGTCTCTAGGACCTAGTTCCTAACAGAAACAGTGGTTCCGTTCTGTTTTGTGAGTATTCTCATTTAACCGAGGAGGTACCATCTACGTTCCTAGAATAAACATCATTATAGTTTTAACAGGATTGAGGAAGCAGTTCTTATAATTAGGTTTCTAAAATAAGAAATTAATCTTATAGAAAGGCAGTTTTGATTAAAAAGTTTTATTTTAAAAACACAGTACTGTCTTAAATTAAAAAAAAAAGGAAAATATGTTTATTGAACAAAATTACTTTGGTGGTACACCTTTGTCAAATCCCTGTGCCCTTTTAAACACTTCACAACCATAAGACAAAAGGGAAAATGTAAACTGATGAAATAAGTTTCATACTTAAGCACATCATTTGAGGAAAATACAGTTTGTTCCTTACAAAATAATGAGAAAACTGCTTCAGAAGGAATAGAAAAAGACTTGAATTTATTGTTTCAGCAGTAGTTATGTGCTTTAAGTAGCCTGACTAAGAGGTTACTGTTATTTGTTTTGCAAGAGAGCAAACCTTCCTCTCTGATACCACGGAGAGATTTCATTGACCAGAGCCATAGCCCCTAGTGCTTATAAGGATTTCCTTTCAGCTTAGACTTAATCCTTTTAAGCTCCTAGGTACAGGGATAAATGTTGATTTTCAAGGTAGCATTTTACCACATTGAATTTGTTTGAAAAATGATTCAGTCGTTTTCTGCCTTATTCTTAAATATTGCTGTGTACATCATGTTTCTAGGTAGGTGAGCTGGTGAAACAATATGAAGAGGAGAAAATAGCCTTTTAAGGAAATTGGCCCACAGAAAGGATGGCCTTCTTGGACAATCCAACTATCATTCTAGCTCATATTCGGCAGTCACATGTGACCAGTGATGACACAGGAATGTGTGAGATGGTTCTCATTGATCATGATGTTGACCTAGAGAAGATTCATCCTCCTTCAATGCCTGGAGACAGTGGGTCAGAAATTCAGGGAAGCAATGGCGAGACTCAGGGCTATGTATACGCCCAGTCAGTCGATATTACCTCAAGTTGGGACTTTGGTATTAGAAGACGCTCAAACACAGGTAAACCTTAATTTTATTTCCAGTCATGTCTTCTGAGCTTTAAATTAGTGAACAGTCATATGGAATGATGCATTATGTTGGAAGGGGAGAGTTTCTGTGTGATAAGAGGAACATGCATGTGTCAGACTAAGAACTACTCTTAAGTAACATCTCCATCTCTATGAGTATGAATGGAGAGGTCCTCTGGAGTGATGTAATTAGAAGGAAGGAGACAGAAAAGGTATAGGTGGAAAGTGGGTAGGGGAGACATGCTGGATGTTATTTTCTAAAAAGTCGTCATGTAGAAATGGAGCCAGACCTGTTCTGAGTGTCTTTTCAGAACAACACTAGTCCCAGTAGATAGATTCCCTGGAGGCAGATTTCAGGTTGATACAATAAAGAACCTTTAACACAGACAGCTGACTAGCCAAGGAGTATAAGGTATTGCTCCAGACAGTTGTTATCCATGGAGGAATTGTTGGGGGGGGGGGTGTTGGGGAGTGGCGGAGACAGCTCTTTATTTGTTAGGGTTGGTCCTAATAGGAATTCCCACTTTGGGTGTGAGATTAGAAAAGGTGCCTCTGTTTTTGATTCTTTATCTTTATTGACCACTAACCTTGATCTTTGTGGTTTGAAAATGCTCAACTTTGGTATATATATGTTGTTATCTTTTAAACGTTTTTCATTGCCTGTTTTCTAGTTTGAAATTTTTTTCCTTTCACAGGGAATGTGATGAACCAAGGCCTTTAATTAGATAAATTATTTAGAATACATATTGTAGTTCTGAAATAATAGGATATTCTAGGAGATAATTATTATTTTTTAGATCATCAGAAAATATAATCTCCAAATCAGCAATAGTAACCTGCTCATGCCCTATGATTGTGACAGAAGTCAAACTATAAGACTGAAAATATTCATGTATTTATTTTTCATGATCTGGATATAAAATATTACATAAAGGAGTATTATAGGTAGAACTAGATACAATTATAGTGAAAAGCACATTAAGGTTTTGGTTCAAATTTCAGCATCTGTGACACCAAAAAGAATAATTTGATCTTATCATGAAAATAATTAATACTATTTGCCAATATCTAAAGGAACTTTTATCAAAATATGACTTGAATGAAGGTTTAAATATAATTCAAAATCATTGATTCTGAGTTCTTTAGTTGAAACTGACTTCCTTGCAAATTATTGAGATGATATCTCATATGACAGGTTGAATGGATTTCAGTAGGAGAATATTGCTAAATTAAGAGCTTTATGATTATATTACATTGGCTGCACCCTTCACATTTATTAATTGCAATCAATGTATTTTTCTTCAGTGGAATTTGGTTAGATATAGTGACATTGTCAGAATGCTTTTGCCAGAGTAGTTTTAGGTTTCTGGCAAGAATATTTTTGGTGTTTCCCTATCACAATGTAAGGCAGGATTGTATGATTTCCTACCTTGAAAGTGTTTGAAAAAGAAGTTTATTTTATTTATTTTCTATTAGCAATGTGCTAGAATAGGATGTTGAAGATTAGCAAGAGAAAATGAGTTTCAAGAGATGGCATCAATTTTGACTTTCCTTTCATTGTTATCTCTGTGCAGCAGTTAATGGATGCTGAGTGGTATTTCTTTAAAGGCTCAGTTCACCAATTTTTTGAAGACTGATCAGCCAGTGGCGGTATAATCACAAATGCATGATTTTAGGCGACTCTTGATGTTGTTGGAATTTCTTTATGTAGCACCTGGATGCTAATAATTAATTCAGATTATTGGTTGTCCTAATGATCAAGGAATTTACTTTTTAGTTCTCTTAACATATCTTAAAATTTTTTAAAAGAAAAATTGTTCTTAAGATTTGACTAATGTTACAAAGATACAAATCATTTATTTTACTACCTATAAACTGTTTCAGCCCACTGAAGAAAAGCTATGCTAATTTATATAGCTTTGACATTTTATAATTTTCATGATTTTTAGATAAAGGATTTTATATTTAAAACTTTAATAGTCTAGTCTGAGTTCATTTATCTTTAATTTTTGAAACGGGTAGAGTAATTCATAACAGTAATTTTATTCCTGTAATGTAATATTCACTTCAGTTCATTTGTGCATTAAAATTCCTTTAAGACCGTTATTAATGATTTATATAATGAAATGTCATATTAATCACAGAAGTTTTCACATTTTATTATTCTCTTCCATGTTAATACTATCTTTATGATCTCTATTAATGTTTTATATCCTCTAATTTCAATTATAAATCAAGAATATTTTCATGTTTTTGTTGGTATTTGCTTTTCAGGGTGCCACCTTTAAAATTTTATGACTTTTTCCCTACATATGCAATATAAAACATCTTTATTCATATAAAGGTAGTTAATTATGTCTTTGTTTATAGTAAACTTTCATTGACAAACTTATAGTTATAATATTTCTTTTCAAGCTCAAAGATTAGAACGACTTCGAAAAGAGAGACAAAACCAGATCAAATGCAAAAATATTCAGTGGAAAGAAAGAAATTCTAAACAATCAGGTAAATGGAAATAATTTTACTTCTTAATTCGAGTATTTATATATTTTATTTAGTTTATATTATTATATAAGAACTTTTACTTTGAATCATCCCTTTAAATCATCTATGCAGATACATCTTGTGTTTTGAGCTTTGAGCTCTTTTACTTGTGCCTTGGCCCTCGGAAGCTGTGTAAATTCTTTAGATCTTGCCTTTTCAGCCAATTTCAGTCTGGGTCATAAAGATCGATGTGTGCAGGGGACATTTTGTACAAAATGTCATGCCAGTACTGTGTTTGTAGGGCTAAGGATTAGTCTGTAATTTTTTGGATGGGTCTCTGGGTTATACATTCCTCTTTGCAGTTCCAACCTAGATATTTCCTTGCCTCATTAATGGTCCTAATAACAATCTTTTTTGCATATATGTTAATTCTTTTATCTTAAAAAAATTAGGTTGCTGTTATTATTATTACCATTTTCTTTTGTGTTCATATGGTATGAGTATAAAGGGTGGCAGTAGTGCATTTTCAAAGCTTCAATCTCAGCAAGACTTTAGAACACAATTTCAAAAGTAAAATACTATTAAAATATTTTATGATGGTTATGTTTCCCAGATTTCATCTTTTTTTCTCTTAAAAGAAATGTCTGAAGCCTGTAATAAATCTTCATTGACTATCTCCATTGCTATACAATTAAGAGTAACAATATTAATGATTATTATATTAACAGCAGCACCTGCCTTGTGCTGTATAGGTACTTGGCATGCATTACCTCTAATGCAACGATGTTGCAAACTATAGGTAGCTGCTATTTTTTACAGCTGAGAGAAGGAATTGAAGAAATTCGATTACTTGCTAAAGTTGTACATGATAGTGCTATGTTTTGTATCCAACTCTGTCCTCATACGAAGGCTAACCTTTTTGTGCTAAACCACATTATAAGTGCTTCTTACATTATTCTTTGATTGTAGACTCCAGTATGCTTATTAGGTATGGTTTTCTTAATGACTGCTTCTAAATGATGACTGTGGGGAAACAGAAATATTTGCTTCTTGCTCTGTGTCTTTCTGTAGTTCTCTTTAGTTTTATTCTCAATACTTTAAACATCTTACTAGTCTGGCCTCTTCTGTTGATTCAGTTAATACTCTTTGTTGTATTTAACACAAACAGAAAACACTTTTTATGATTCATCTTGTTCATTTTGTTCAGATTTTCTGTATATCTTAATGCAGTTCCTAGTAATCGCCTCTTAATGAATCAATACAGAGCCAGTTTATCTAAGCTACTGCATCTTTCCAGCTACCTTTTGTTTGCCTTCTTCACTTTTATTCTACCCTATTTTTATGTATTTATAATCTTAAAAATTATAAATACATAAAAAAAGGGTAGAATACTTCAAATTTAAGTGCAGCAATCCATTTTACAATATGAGAAATAAATTATTTGGCATAAAGTTTGATGCATTTAATAAAGAAGAGGATTTTTATTTGCTCCTCATTCACTTCTTCCTAAAGTTGAATCTACTTGATCTGATTCAATGTTTACTGGAGAAATGGGTAGTCCCCCTGTTGCTTTCATTTGTTACTGTCCATTGTATATGTATACTTGTCTCTCCCTCAGTTTCTTTTCCTCTCTTTTCTGTCTCTCACACGTTTCAATAATTGATCCTGTGATCTTATTTTTAGAAAAGTCCATGCTTTGAAGTGTTGACCCTGTTTCTGGGCAGACCAGCAGCCTGCCTTGCAGTTGTTCCTGATGGTTAGAGGAAATGTCATCAATGTCTTAGGATGGGGGATGTAGCTCAGTGGCAGAGCACTTTTCTATCACAAAGGAATGTCTTTAATTATGAGGCTGGGTTCCATCATTAGACCACAGCTTGGTACTCTGGTTATCCTGGAGAATGCTAAGAAAATAGAGTTAGTAGTTAACTGAGCAGGCATTCTGTCTTCACACATCTCTCAAACATATGCTCTCTTTTGGCAAAAAATGCCATTTCTAAATCTTTTGATCTTCCTTGGGAATTTTCCATAAGTCATTATTTATTCATTCCTATAATCTTTTTTTTATATTTATTTTTTCGCTTTACGTGGACACAATATCTTTATCTTTAAGTGGTGCTGAGGATTGAGCCCAGTGCCTCACGCATGCTAGGCGAGTGAGCCACTACTTGAGCCATATCCCCAGCCCCATTCCTATAATCTTTTTCTGCTATTTATGTTCTATTATAGTCCTTTCATGTTTTCTTATCTTTATTTTATTTCATTCTCCAGTAGAAGAATCAACATTATAAATATGATGCTCTCCTGTGGAATTATTGCATCTAAATTCAGTCCATCCTTTAGACATAGTGTAAATGCAGCCTTTTCAGACCAGTTAGAAGGGCTCTAGAGGTTCATATTCTGGAGTGTTTTTTTTTTTTTTGGCAGTGCTGATAATTGAATCCAGAGCTGCACACATGCTAGGCAAGTGCTCTACCACTGAGCTACCTCTCCAGCCCAATCCTCTGAAGTTCTTGGTGAACTTACTGATCTATATGCCATGACACCACATGCAATACTTTAGGGTAATATTCTCTTAGGGGCTGGAGTTGTGGCTCAGTGGTAGAGCACTTGCCCAGCACGTGCGAGGCCCTGGGTTCGAAAATTTAAATAAATAAAATAAAGATTAAAAAAGATTCTCTTCGTATTCCTGTAACTAATATTGCATGGATAAATATGATGATGGTTTCATGAGAAGTCTTCTTTGTCAGGAATTATTTCATATTAGGGTCCTAGTATTTAGTTTTATTGTTTTAAAATGGTGTTGGAGGGCCAAGATTGTAGCTCAGTGGTAGAGTGTCTGCTAGTATTCATGGAGCCCTGAGTTTGATCCCCAGGACCAAAGAAAAATGTATTTAGAAAAAAATTGGTATTTTAGCCTTTATATAACAAGTTATATAAACTGAGTCATTTGACAAATATTTCTTCCATAATTCCTGTATGTCTAGTAATTCTGTGATAGGGGCTTAGAGAAAGATATCGTCCAGTCCTTAAGAAACTTGAAGATTAATTGTAAGACAAGGCTTTTTACACATGAAGTGCAATAAAACTCAAAACAACAATGTAGCTTATATCAATTATTTATAAGTATACCAAGTATACCCTAGTTTTTTTTTTTTAAATCATCTGCATTTATTATTCTTTAAAGCAGAATGTCTACTTGGTTTCTACATAATTTCATTCATAAGCCTTACTGAGTTACTTTTTGAACAACTTTGTAACACACCTAGGGAGGTTTAAGTTTTGTTCCTCTAAATACTTTTCTTTGGAAAACAAGCCCTGGAGAGTTCCTCCCATCAAATTGTTTCAGTTTAACCCACTTTAGAGGACTAGTACATGCCCCATGCATAACTAAAAGGGATGGAAAGTTTAAAAAGTGGATCCTAACAAGATGAAACTCAAGCCATTTTAATAAATATACATTTTTTAAACATGAAGCTAACGATAGGTTACGTGTCTTATAACAAACATCTCAACCATTAAAATAAGCCAACATGAAGCTAGTAAAAGCATTACTAGCTCTGCTTTAGTGCCTAACGTATCACAGTATCACTAAAAGTACAAAGAAATCTTATCTCCTGCTTAAGTAGTTATAGTCATGCCATACAGACTGTTTAATAAGTGTTAACAAAAACAAAGAGCAAAAAAATCCTTGAAAACATAAATTCCTAAAGTTTTGTTTATGTAACATCCTTTACTGGTTTCTTAAGGATTCCCAAATACAGTGGTTGTATAAAAATCAGAAATGCACCCCTAAGTGTATATTGTAATGACATTCCGTGTACATTTCTAGGCCCAACCTGTGGAATCCCTGATTCAGTAGATATGGAGTGAGGTCCATACATTTTATTTTTCAAAAGCTCCCTATGTAATTTTAATGGATAACCAGTTCTAGGGTATAGAATATGCTAGCCACTAAGTTTTTTTTTCTCTTTATGCAAATCCAGCAGATTAGCTGTTAATATATCTGTTTTACAGGTGAGAAGACTGGAGCTCAGAGGCTGAATGACTTTCCCATTACTTACTCTCAAGTAGTGACTAAGTGGCAAAGCCATAATTTTTCTCCTGGCCAGTCTGACCCAATCTTTAGTCTTTCTATTCTGCTCCCGTCCCTCCCAGATCCTATGTGTAAGGGAGCTGCACACAAGCTTTGATGTTGAGTCCTTGGTGTTCCTCTGTTTCATTCCTTCTCTGTCAGCTGTGACTAGGGTTCAGGGAAGTTGCCAAACCCTCTATAAAAAAACAATTATTGCTGAAAATCTGAAAAAAATATAAAAATTATAACAAACTTTCATCAATCTCACATCCAGAGATAACCATTTTTAACATTTTGATGTATTTAGGTTTCGTTTATGTATGTTGGTAATATATTTTAAACAGTATTCTCATTCTGTATGGTATTTTCTGTGTACATAAACATAAAGCTTTATAGTTGTCTCCATATAGACCCTGAACTTTTGTATTTCTTATTAAGGTGATTTCTGAATGTTTTATGTTACTCTTACAAATAGCAGCTTACCTGTAACTTTTTTACTGGTTTTCTGAAAAGAAATCTGATGCTTTGGCTGAGAGTGTAGCTCAATGGTAAAGCACTTGTTTACCACGTGTGAGGCCCTGGGTCCTGTCACCAGCATAGCACACACAAAAAAAATAATAATAAAAAATAAAAGAAAATCTGTTGTTATCATACATATGTTTTGTATCTAACCACTCACCGAACCCTTACTAGTTCTAATATCCATTCTCATATTCCTCATCTTCATAGTATGTGCTTTCTCTTAAATATGATGATTAAATTTGTAGGCTATTTTTCCAAGCATATATTTGTTGCATACTTTCACTTATTTTGCAAATAATAGGAAGCTTGTTTTGAAAAAAATCTTATTTCAAGGAGAGCTTGGAGAAGTACAGCTTTCCTCGTGAAGGGCTGAGCCCCTTCACCTAGAGGGGAGGGGCTTTCACCATTTCTCTGGCCTTTGCTCTCT